AAAATCGCTCTAGTTAGTTTGGTAACCTGTACAAAAGCCTGGCCTGAGAAAGGAGCAACTCTTTCCACAAAAAGAACTTGTACTTTTCTCGGTCTTGTCAGTATTGCCGTACGGTATGGAGATAATGTCCGAATGAAAGACCAAGAATGAACTGCGAGGAACAGCATCTGTTTCAACACAATGACGGTTAAATGGCAGGGCCACTCAACGAACGACTGTCTTATTCCAAGTATGGGTGCTCGTCATAGATGATAAGATTAAAGAAAAGTGGTTGGTCCTGTTACACATACCATTCACTCCAAATCACGAGTTCATAGCGTAATCAAACACAACACCCGTCGATCACTACGTCAAAATACAGCATGGATGAACAAAGTAGACATTGACTTTCCCAGGAATACTGGCCTCTACGATGCAGCATCCCGTGCCTTACAGCAAAATTGCTGTAAAGCTTCTAATACAACGGACATCGCAAACTAGAAATGTTCTACTCATGGGCACAGCTCGAAGTGATGACATGAAGCATCACACACAGCACACATGATTACGACGGTATTATGTTCCAAGTGGCACGTAGCATCGTAACAGCGACTCTTGCGCAATAAATTCCATGAAAAAAGGCGTCTTACCCTCAGAGAGTCTACGGGACATCAAATAATGGTTATAAACTTTGTGTTCAGATGGAACCAACAGACCGATTAACGCAATCTACGTTATGTCCCTCTTCAAATGTAGGGTGTTTAGGTGTCAAGCTTACAATGATAACAAAGCCTTTACGGGAACAGTGATGAAGTGCAAACAAAGTTTATATTCACACTGAAATTCATAAAAACTGACGGACCAACAGGCACTTTTATCAGTAAATAGCACTGAATTTATACAGTGACATAAGGCGGTTGGAAAATTAAACGGGCAGTCAATGTGAATGCGTACCAAGACAGCAAACGGGGCAGCAAAGTTCAGAATATTCAGCAGGAGACACATCATTCCAAGCTGTGAGGTGACCGTTTCCAAGTCGCGACTCATATATCGCAAATAGACGGATAAGCAGGAGCATGCAACAGCTGATATGAAAATCAGCGTGGTAATCTGCCGCTAAATGATAGAACGATTACATTAAATAATGGTCGATACAAAAAATTAGATTTCAGTTTTACCTTAGAGTTGGCGTACAGATAAAAAATTAGAGTATATAAAAGCTGAAGCACCAGTCCGATAGTGTTGACAAGAATAATCGTGCGATCCTGCTTCAAAAAGCCATACTGCAGCCAGAAGTAGCAGCTAAATTTCACATTCTCATCACTCAGAAACTCCTCGAGCCTTAATTTTTTCTCAACGGTCTTACCTCACCATGCACATGATAAACGGAACAGGGGACGTGCTGTCGCTGGAGCGCATCTTCAAAATTTTCTGGCATATTGAACTAAACGTAAAACGCAAAAAGATAGCATACAAAAATTTTTAAAGAATTCATCATTACATCCCAACGAGAAACATGCCAATCGTAGATACTGTGGCGACTAACGCAACGATGTCCACGAAGTCCATCGTTTTCAACTTATTTCTATAAAAAGCATCCATGAGCGACCACTTTAAGTTTCGGATATGTTCTTTTGCCTAATCGTTCAATATAATTTTTCAAGCACTACAACAGAAGAATCAGATTCTCCGAAAAGCAAAATACAAGTTCGTAAATTCACCAAGAAGAATGTTTTACGATGGGCAACTGAAACAAAATCGAAACACCTTTCGTATACCCCCAAACAAAACATTTCGCTACCGACGGTGCAGTCTGCAGGTTTTATTGATTAGTAATATCTTGCTTTTAACATTTAAACATACAATGATTTCTGATAAAGGCAAGTTACTCCAGTACTATCTTGATCTCAAAAAATTTGAGCTGGTGCTGGAATAACCAAACGCCAGTATTGCTATAATTTAGAGCTTTGACATTATGCTGCCCAGACAAAATCACGAAAGAACTTTGTTTGAAACAGAACCATAAATTGCATAAACCCATAAATATATTCATCTCTTTATTCCATTTACCGACGCTTCAGCCAAGCAGCATTTGCCATTCTCATGAGCAATGATGAGTCAGTAAAAGAACACTTGTCACTTTTAAAGGTGAGGGCCACACCAGACAGAAAAACGTAGAATTGGAAGCGACACATGTGATAAGTTTTCAATGATGTTATGAAGCAATTTACTGCAGCCTATACACTAAAGATGTCAAAATACTAGCGTTTTCTTTGAACATCCTTGCTAAGCTAATGAATGCATTCAGTGATTCGTTCGTCAGCAGTGCATCACCTTTTCCCCGTGATAACTGATCACGGTGTTATTAGCAATCATAGTCTCTAACGATTGCTTCCTAACGCATCGACAACAATGATAGAGTGTCCTGCATGGAAATTAATTATGACTCTTTTATGTCCACTAATTTGTAATTCGACAGCTTTGATAGTTTTTCAGGTAAAAGTGATGAATACAGAAGTATTCGTGCTTAATAGAGTAACGAAATATTTCATGTTGTTAATTGGCGTCCGAGGATGATCCTCAATTGTTCTGTACAAGATGGATCCTAATGCGAGCCCTTAGAGAAATGTACTTTAAGACTACATTCTTTTAAATGCCCATGAATTTATTTACTTGCATTTCTTTTATCTAATCTTAAACTGGTTCTGAACGTAATTATCAGGAATTTAATAGCGCCGCCAAGGACTCCGTCTGATGGTTCCATTTCAGTGAATGGTCGACCTGTTTCGACGTTCATTCTTTAGAAAAGACAAACTGTATAAAGCATTCGAACTCAAAGCATCCGCCGTTCTATCAAAAGGCATTGCCGCGGATGGAATCAACAAGGCTTCCAGTTAAAGGCTAGGACAGATAGAGCGATAAACTAACAATTGAAAGATTGCTTACATATGCCCCGGAATGGTTACTCTCTTTTTGTAATTCCGTTAGAGATAAATGAGTACCATTTTGTGCGCTCTGAGGGAGTAAGCTGTACTCTAGTTACAACGTTGCTTTAGATACTGCATTTATAATGTGACATTTGCGGTTGACGGCACATTTGGGAAGAAAACTGCCAAAAAATTCTGCTCATTATGGCTGTTTAAGGGAGAATTAAATGTAAATCATCGCATACTTTCTGAGGCATTTAACTGACGCCAGCTTGGAGACCGTAATACACAAATGACGTCATAAGGATGGTTGAAATGTATGCACTACTGCACTGTACGTTCTTCCAGATGCAGCGTATAAGCAATACACACGGATAATTGAAAAACATTAATTTTTCGACATATTATTCAGCATGCATTCACATGCACACCGACGATTTTGTCGCAACCATAAAACGCGCTATCATTTTTATTTACCGCCTTCATTTTACATTGAAATCTCGGTTTACTTCACTAGATGCTAATGGGAATCGCTGAACTGGTGTTAGCACGAGTTGTGAAGGATGAGCTATTCTGAATTTGCTTTGAATTTATTCGAACAGTCAATCATAAACTTACGCTTGGTTCTTTGATTTTCCAATGCGCCTAAGATCTCTGTATGCGCTCGAGC